ACATGCAGGTTGTAGGGATTAACGAGTGGGGCTACATAAGCTACTGTTGCCCAATTAAGTTCCGCTTTGCCCAGGAGCTCGCAATGCAAACCTCCAGACCGTCATATAGTGACTAAGTTGATATGACGAAGTGGATCCGACAAAGCAAAGGGGGACCGGAACGGCCATTTCTGGCATATTATCCAACATCAGCCAGTCATACCCAATCTCGAGGTTTGACACCCCTGAGATTTGAATCCGGGACCTTTGGTCATTGCGTTCAATGGAAATATGGGCTTAGGTGCGTCCTAAAATCCATCTGGATGGATTACTAAGACACCCGCGCGAGCATTCACCTCCGGTTGGTAAAAAAAGCTGGTCAAGGCATGTCACGCCCACGAGCGGTTACAACATTTCCTCTCTTGTAAACAACCCAGCAGGGCTACAATAACAGTTTTTAATATGGCGAACAAAAATGACCGCGGCCCTCAGCCCAGTGGCTTTTTTTAGCTGGCGCAAACAACAGACCTTCCTGGTCGTAGATCAAAACTGGAGACAAACAACGCCAAACAAGACGGCGAGGGAACGGCAAAATAGACTACTCAAGGCTGTCATCTTTGCCGAAAACAATCAAGCCTATAAGATTAGATTTGGGGTAATTTTATCTACTCATCGTATATCCAGGCCAACTGGAAAAATCGCCCTTATTAAGATGAGCGCTTCTACAGTAGATTTCCTAACTCATGAAATCTCAAGAATATGCAGACTACGCAGGGCCGGCCCTGCAAAGCCTTTTAGCAATAGAAACCTGGCCGTTCTTCTAAAATGGGCTTATTGCAGTTTATTAATTAACGCAGCGTTGTTTGGGAATACTTATTTTTTAGAAAAGAAGAAAATTCCAAATAGGTAAACTATCAGTGCAACTGAGTAAACATAAGTTTAGAATGTAAAAACACCGGATGAATAAAACAGCCCAAATACAAATACGTTTGAAAGTAGTCCTTTAGTGAATTTTGCGGTACTTTATCTCTTTCAAGCTTCTAGGCGAGATGAAAATGGGTAAGGTTGACCGTTTTTTTGATTTTCCTGAAAACTATGGATAATCTTTCTCCAAGTATTCCCATGTGCAATCTGAAAAGTCTATTGGACAAACAAGTCTTCGGCAACTCATCCTCGGGCCTGTACATTTGCTTTGACAACGAAGGCAAAATTAGTTTGTGTAGTGTACCATGGGTATTTGCAACCCCAGTTTTCTCATTGTGGGATTGGTGGGACCGGGGGTTTTATGGGTGGGGAAAATGGATGGACGAGGAAGGGACTTTGTAAAAATAAGTAAAAAAAGTCGTAAAATTTTGTTAAACTAGTTTAATGCGGCGACTATATGGTGACGGCGTTGGACGCGTAAATCGAAAAAAGGTGCGAAAAACAGATGGAGCTCGAATTGAGGTCGATTTTTAACCGTAGTTCGTTAGACTCTTAGGGCAATTGCTAATACAAGTAAACATGCGAGTCCCAGGAAGTAATTGAGAAGTAGAAAACGACTCGATCGCTGGGAAAATATGCTTATTCGTCTGACGTTTCGAAATCCGTCGCGGATTCATCGCCAGAGACATACTCAAAGAACAGTAGGAGAAACAATTTGTGTGTGCACAGGGTTCCGCCGTCTGACCGACGCATGGCGAGGGCACAAGAAACGTCCTTTTCCCGCTTCTATGGCCTTCCCAATGTGCACAAGGAGGGCGCTCCTCTCCGGCCCATTGTATCAGTGAAAGACACTCCAACGTACGAACTGGCTAAATGGCTGTTTCGGCGCCACAAATTCCTGACCTCTGATGCGGAGACCACGGTCCGCTCATCAACACAATTCTTGGAGAAACTTAAAGGGGT